GGAGTACAACCATGAGTTAACTAAATTGTACATCGTTTTTTAATCTGAATTCATGCAGAAGGGAGTACATGTCCTTATGCTGGCAATGCAAAGCTCTGAATCAAGGAGGTAGAGGACCAAGTTACTAACTAAAACAAGTAAAGCTACACGCGCGGGGTCTTTTAGGGGGTTTTATGGGGTTGATCCACTTGGCACTTTGTGGTTTGCAATTTGGAAAAATTGGCCAACACCCGTCTGAAAATTAGGGAGATGGGGCTGGTTTAATTAGTTGGAAGAAGCCCATAATACCCCCGTAAAGACCCCTGAGCCTACAATTTTTTCTAAAACAATACACAAAGCAGACATCATTATGGCAGTGCTCCTTGTGACAATTATCTTCACCATTGCTTTCACTCTACCCAGATGATGTAGTAGTGATACTTGATGCGCGGGATTTCCCATCATGTCTGGAAAGATCGCATTTTGAGCATTCTTGGTCTCTGACACCTTAGCAGTGTGCTCTTCATTTATTTTGGCCTCCATACGCCTCATGGAAAGGGAGGAGGATGGTAAATTCATGACTTATTATATCTTCATCACTAAAACCTTACATGGTTTGCATACGCAACAACTACCCTTATTCAACTAGTTTGTATATGGTGCTGGCCCGTGTCGACTAGAGTCCATTTGGATTTGCCCTCTCGTATCTTTACTGTCCACTCTTAATTACTAGTAGATGACTTGTTGCACCCATGGCGAACATGCCAAATGAAATCGAGAAGTTAGACAAACTATATGAAAAATATGAATTGTTCTTAAAGTATGATCTTAATTTATGATATAGCAACCTGCAATATGAACTTATAATATCAAGTGCTAAGGCAATACATATGATACAGTTCATGTTAAAATAACTTGTGCTTGAGGTGTTTGAAACCAAATTTTTAAAGTGCTCAAACAACCCACGAAAGTGTCACCGAATATTCCTAAAAGTGCTTAGAATAGTTTTGAATTTTTCATCGCTTATTTTGAGAGTGACTAATCTACTATCAATAGCGGTTTTGAATAATTGTGAAAGCACTCGAATTATTTCCAAAAGCGTTGATAAAATATGTCGTCCCAACCTTTCACATATGTTTTACGTAAACCACACATATTTTTACATAAAAATCGCACACACCCCCTTACCGCGTGGTTCTCTGCAGTTCAAAAATACTATACGAACAACATGTCGACCAATTAAGAATATTGGAGGAAAATTAACTCCTGAAATAAGACAACATTCCAATTCAACATAGACATCTAAGAAGAAGCAACCTACCACATGTAGTTTCCCTTCCGACGTTTGTAACCGCTTGATGGTCCTTCGTTTGCCTTGTTTCGGGGGAGCCTTTCATTCAAGGATGGGTAGACGAATGCTCCGTTGTTCAGTCCTGGTGACGCAACCCATCCTTTATGGTCAAAATCGTTTGATAAATCTCATAACTCACGTAGGCATCCTTCCCTGCATAGGTTATGGGCACCGGAGTAGTAAACGGATTCCACCCCTAGTAGTCATGGTATGGTTTTGCGAATGTCGTTTTCAAGTCCTTGTATGAGAGGTCTATGATGCCCACTATGAGTTGCCCCATGGAGTACCCTTCGCCGCCACCTTTGACCTGGACTGTGGATGTAGATGTGGTACTCATCTGGAATGACGATACACTCCTAGAAAAGAGCTTTCTTCCCTCTCTGATGTCAACGCTAGCGAAAGTTATCTCCCCATGTTTCAGAAAATCGTCAAGTGCATGACACCACTTCTTGGCCCTGCAGAACTAGTAGAGGAGGACGTGCTCACGTGTCGAAAGTTGCAGGACTGCGATCTCTTGTCGCCAACAAGGCACGCGAGAACGTGTGCGCCGATGCGGTGGTTAGAGGCGATCCTCCGTGGCAGTAGGCATCATAGTCATCACACACCATTTATCTTTAGTGTGTGTGATTGGAGAGCAGCGATTCCGACACTAGGCTGATCAACACCTGCCCATGAACAGTAAATTTGAAACAGTTAAAAAAAACTGACACTTTTAGGCATCCAACATGCTCAGTTGTGCTTGATGCATGCAAATTTTCGTGGTCAAATGACAACTGAGGAGCTCGTGAAAAAAATGACTATCAAAGAAACTTTGAAAAACAGCATTTTATAGACCAGGTTTTTCTTCACAAGCTCCTCAGATGTCATTTGACTTTGAAATTTTGCATGATCCTAGTGCACTTGAGCATCTTGGATGCCTAAAGATTACAGATTTTTTTATAGTTTGTTTACTATTCGTTTGGAATTTACTGTTCATTGAAAGTAGAGGATTAGTGCGAGCGATTGGGGCTATACTACGTATCTGTACTAGTCCCCATTATTAAAACGGATTATAGTACGTATCTGTACATGTTGGTACGTCATGATTTGGTTTGGTTTCGTACGTTTGTTGGTTTTCACGCTAATTATAGAGTATCATTATTGGATGGGAGGGTCACGTTAATTATAGAGAATATCATCTTTTTGGATAGGTGGATAACGTTAGTTATGGAGAGTCTCATTATTTGGACAGAAGGATCACGTTAATGCAGCAAGACAGTGAGCTATTTTGTTCTCATCCAGAATGTCTTGGCAAGGACAAATCATGATGTTCACGTCCTGAAGGCTGCACTGCAACACGGTCTACAAAGACTCATCGATGCCAGTCAATGAACGGCCCACGGAACAATGATTCAACCTGACACGGAAATGCACTTTCGGTGATGACCACGTTGACCTAGGCCTGGCGCGAGCACTTCGTACCGAAGGAGTTTGGATGGTGGATGCCCCTTGTCTAACGCGACATATGGAGAAGCAGACAGTGTGAATTTGTAGTTTTTCCCACACAGAAAAGTAAGGTGTTGCTGATGGATACCACTTTTTATTGTAGAAGTGAAGATCACGAGTCCAGCTCACCGAAGAGGCAAGAAAGTTATGTAGATCACGAGTGTTTGAGCAGAGAATTTATGTACTGTCATGTTATAAGTAAACAAGAACAAACACTTAGTGATGTCTTCTTTTGTTTGATCGAGTGTTGTGGGAGACCGATCTTAGCATTTAGGGTATGAGGATGTTTCCAGCTCCATTCATGAGTGACGAACATACTTGATGTCCAGTATCCGCCATTCCTTCGCCATCGCCCTCTATAGCTCAACCACATGAGGGCA